CACCCTGTATATCGAGATGATTACCCATTTTTGGTTACCGATCATCATAGCTTGGGCTAGCCAATCCCTTCCTTTCCCAGTCCAAATAATTTCGAGTTCTGATCTGGTCAGGATTCCGACGCCCCCGTTCGACCTCTTGTTGCTGCTACCCTTCCGGTTGCTGCCGTGGAACGTGTACCCTTGTATTGGAGGGGAACGCTCTTCGTTCATCAATCTGGTTTCTGATAGGAGCATTACGCTCACATCCAAATTAATCAGGACGTCTCGTTCTAAGGCGGCCCATTTATAGGCGTTAGATTTAGTACCATTCATATTGAGTATACCAAAGTAAAATTTATTCAAGGCTTTTCTCGCGGTTTTGCTTTTCTGGCCTCCTCGCCTCCACCTGTTCGGACGTCCCGCGAATCGTCATTTCGAAGTGTGTTTCTCGAATTTGACGCCGCTCGTAGACGGTTGGTCCCGTCGATCGCGTTTCGGTTCACGGCCCTGGCTATGCCCACTGGGCCGGCTTCCGTCGCGGTTCTGTGCCGGGCCCCTCCCTCGGGGTTTCCCTTGGTCGTGGCCTTCGGCTCTAGCGCGGCTTGTTTCGCGCGAGCGCGAGAATGTTCTCCCCCGTTTTGGGTTCTGGAGATCTTTCGGACTGGCCTCAGGCCGTTTCCGATCGTTGCGCCCTGCGTGCCTGCTCCCAGGTTGTTCCTGGTCGGCGGCAGCTTTACCGCATTGGCATTTCGGGCAAGGCCCTACGTAAGTTTTGTCGAGTTCCTTCATTGTATTTTTCAGGACCTCTTTTTTCGTGTCGATAAGTTGTTGGACCTCTCTTCGCTTCTGCTCTCGCTCAGCCAACATCGATAGGAAGGCCTCCTTTTTTTTGGAGATTTCTTCCCTGTCGGCGATTGTGAGATCCAGCATTGAGATAATATGGCTTTCGAACCATTTGTACAATGTTTTTAGTACTGGCTCTGCATATTGTACCTCAATGAGGTCTTGGTCGGTGTTTGTCAGGTTCCGATCATCCCCCGAAAGGATTCGTAGATCGAATACCCCGATTTGGGCTTCCCTGACCTCTGGCGACTCCATGATCGCTCTATTGACAGCCGCGGTGTTCGGAACTTGTTTTGGTTCCATCATCGTACACCACGTTACTGTTAGAACCCCGCGCTTCATTTTGAGGCCCGCTAAGGGTTTGATGATCTGTTTGGCGGTGTCCTCGATCGTCAGAGGCGTTTCGCTCTGAACGGCCGCGGCCACCTCTGCTCTTCCCAGATGACAGATGATGTGTGCCTCCATCTCTGGGTGCTGGTCGAGGTACTCGCTGATACCTGCAACTGTCTCAGTAATCGTTAGCCCTTTTCGGCAGATCGATTCTCCGAAAGTCACTTGCCCAGCGAAGTTGGTGTAGAGGTCGATATCGGGCTTTCCTCTACGGAGCTTCCGCAGACCCTCGTCCGACTAAAGTATTATACACGGATTTCGGGTAGCGTCTGCCAGTTGAGCCGCACCGATATTCATACCTCTGATGGCCTGTGCGGTTTCCACGGCGCCGATCTCCAACTTCTGTTGTTCGAGGATTTTGTTTGTTTCCTCTAGTTTAAGAGATATCTCTTTATTTTTTCCTTTAACTCATCGAGTTGTGTATTCAACTCCTCTATTTGAGTTTTTGCGGCGATGAGCTCTGACCTCATCCTTTCTGCCTCCATCGAGTGGCCCATCGCGTTTTCGTCGGCGACGATTCAGATTTGAGCAGTTGTTCCGCTCTAGATTTCAACTCACCGAAAACACAGCATTTTGTGGTGGAGGCGAGTATTCTTTCCGCCTCGGTGAGACACTTGCTGCAGGCCTTGAGACTCATTTTACGAATCAAGGTATTTTAGACGGCGATTGACACACTCGATACTTACGATAGATGCCAACCGTTGTTCTATCCCCTTCTTGGGGATTAACACGTATTTTGGACACGAAAAAAACCGAGAATTTTTAATTTTTCTCGACAGCGCCGTGCACGTGTGCTTTCTCAGCGCCGTAACGTTTGAGAATGTCGAGGGTGAAGCGTTCTTGACGCATAACCACGCTCATATCACTTGTTCTGTGAATTTGAATTCCAAGGAAGTGATCAAGCGGCTTAAACGTAATTTCGAGATGCTGTTTTAATTTAGTCAGGAAATCGAGTATTGATTTCTCAGTGCGTCCTGCCAGAATTGCATCATCGACGTATAAGCACACGATTAGTCTGTCCTCATTGTCGCCATAAAAAACACATGGTTCGGTGAGACATTGTTTGATGAGTCCTAGACTAAGGAGTATGGATTTAATCTTCATATGGAAACATCGGGGGGTCTGACGGCTCCCGTAGAGAGCCTTGTTGAGTCTACATACTCGTGGAGTATTGTCATGGAAACCCTCCGGTTGGTCCATAGATAGTTCTTCCTCAATGTCCGCGGATAGAAAGGCGGAAGCAACATCGAACTGGAAAAGTTCAAGTTTTTCTTTTGCAGCAATATTCAGGACAAGTCTGATGGATTCAAAGCGTGACACAGGACTGAATAGTTCCTTATAATCGATGCCAGCTTTCTGTGCGTACCCTTTCAAAAAGATTCTCGATTTGAATCTTTCGATTTTTCCTTCAGCATTTCGCTTTGCTCTGAAGACCCACCGACAGCCTAAACTTCGGCGTCCAGGTGGTAGTGTGGTCAGAGTCCACACGTTCAATGCCTTCATGCTGTTCATTTCGGCTTCCAAGCCTAGTCCCACGAGGAATCCAGGGATTCCGCGGGGGTCGAGCTTCTTTCTCGTTGGTTCCAAATTTACATACGTGCATGGGGTTCCAAATGGTCTGAATCTATCACGATAGGGCTTCTTCCCGTAGAATATCTCATAGGCCGATTGATTTGTGACGGGGTTAATTGTCACGGCGTTCAAGACATTAGCACCATAGCTGATCGCCTCGGGCCATAGCGCCTTGGGTAATTTAGAGTCTATGTATGAGGATGGTTCTCGCAAGTTCAACCAAAGTTCGATTGCTTCGTTCTGCTAGACCATTTTGAGCTGGAGTTCTTGGATTTGAAGCGCTTTGATCAGCTCCAATGTCAGTAAGGATTTTGGTATCGGCAGCATCACCCTCTGTGATCAACCGAACTACCTACTCCAACAGGAACTGGACTGGAAGAGGGAGGCAAGGGAGGCTAAAAAACAATTGCACGCCCAATGTTTATGGACCTTTAACAGATTCGAAATCACACGAATACAATGGAAGGCCACGGGAGTACCGAGACTCACATACGCGAATGCGGTATTAGCGTCTCGGGCCTCAAACCAAATGACGGCTGAATTCGAAAGAATTCAGACTGCAGTTGGAAAATGGGCACTGGGAATAAACGAATATAAAGTTGCGAACGAGTTCGTACAAGGCGATCTCGGGTGGTCAACCTTCGAATCGAGAGAAGCGCAGAGCAAGATCCGATATTTCGCGAGACTAAGCGCGATGGAGCCCGACCGGTGGCCACGCATGATACTGTCCATGATGGCCACAACGAAGATAACGACAGCAGCGCTCAGGAGAATGCACCACCTCAGCGATAAATACTCATGCGGAAACATACCGATAGTATACACAGAGGACCTCAGACCGAGAATGAATCTTTTCAATAATACGGTGAAGAAACATATTAGAGAAAAGATGGAAGAGCTGAGGAGAGAGGGAATAAACTCTAAACCCAGCCTGGAATTGCACAGCATATGGAAGGATACAGCCAACCCAACATATGGACTACCGTATTTCCTCTAATAGTGGGGCATGCCCGATAATGGATCAGAGCCCCCAGATGGGTGCCCGTTAAATGGAAGTGCCCGGTAATTGGAGCATGCCCGTTTGGATTGAATGACCTATCAAGGGACTCAAGGAAAAACGAACTACAAAAAACACAAACTAATGCTTGCCTGTTTCTTATATTACAAAGGTACCTCACTATGGTTTTATACATATTTCTTCGCTTACGCATCATTTAACAGCTCATCGTCTGTGAGCTCGTCTATGTCCGTCTCGTTCGACACCCCGCTTAGGTTGCATTCGTTTCCCGAATCATGACTTTTTCGAGCTTCAGCGAGCTTCTGGCGACCGGCAGGTATTTGTCCATGGGGTTTGAAACAGTGGATCTGGTCATCCTCCGAACCGTCGAAGGCGACAGTGATGCCGCACTGTTTGAATGACCTGACAATCAAGTCCTCGGGAAACTCCCGCCACGAATCCGCAATCCATGACAAGTAGATTTCCATTGGGGGAGCAGCCACATTTCCGCCACGGGACAAACGTTTCTCGCCCTGCGCCATCCATTCCTCGTAGCGACGGCGGATCCCGGCTTTGAACGGGGCGTTCCAGGAAACGTCTGGAGGTTGTACAAAGTTCGTTCGGATGGTGCCCGTCTAATAGAGGTTTGGGAGAGTGCCCGGTAATTAGAGCATGCCCGTCTGGAATGAGACCTGTCGAACCATGTCCGGCAAATAGAGCATGCTCGAGAATGAGAGCATGCCCCTTTATTAGAGGAAATACGGTATATAGAAATAGTCGAGGGAACGCTCTGTTAGCCCTAGCAATAGCAGGGATGCTACCGACGAGGTCGCATAGAGCGAAGTACCAACGGATCGGGCCGCACTGTTTGAAGTGTGGCTTAGACGAAGAAACCATTCCTCACATTATGACGGAATGCACTCCTCACCACTTCGATATTGACGAAGTGGCTAGGAGATTGGGTTTCACTGAACAAAGTGACGAAAATCTCATGAGGAAAACAAGAAGACTGCAGGATGAATGGGAAAGAGAAACCCGAAGGATCTGCTGAGAAATCGCCCCTGAAAGAGGGTCTCATGCCCATATGTATAATATAGGCTCGAGAGGATCAATTAATACCATACCATACCATACCAGCATTGGAAAACTCACCACCGTTGTCCGTATGTAGCCGGTCGATGTCGCGTTGAAACTTGTTCCGGAACCATCGAGTGTATTGTCAGATGGCCTCTGCTGCTTGCTCCTTAGTTTTGAAGAAGTACACTCGTCGGAAACGACTGAAGTCGTCGGTCAGGCACATGAAGTGGTTGAAGCCGGTCAGGGATCGTTGGGCTGGCGAGCATAGGTCGCCATGGATGTATCCTGGTCTTTTTGCTCTGCAGTCTGTGGGTTTGGCTCGGTAGGTGCTCCGGTGCTGTTTTCCTTGTTGACATGATTCACAGTTGAAGAAGTCGTCTTCGTATTTGATTCCTTCACGGTCCAGGGTTTCCTTGATTATTCTTTCATTTAAGTGCGCCTGAGCGTCGTGAGCGGCTTACAAGCTTACCATGGCCTTGGTACTATAGCTCACAGTCTGCAGACATTTGGGCTCACGTTTGTCGATGTTGAGGACGTAGAGTCCTTGCTTACATTCGGCTATCGCTCTTCCTTGACCGGTGGAGATGAGGGTCCTCTCAGTGCTCATTGTGACTTTGTAGCCACTTTCCGTCAACTTGCTGACAGAGATAAGGTTCGTATTCATTTCCGGAACGCATGGGGCGTCCCAGAGTTTGATAATCACACACTTGTTTCCTCGATGAACAGACAGCAAGGCGTCACCATACCCCTGTGTCGTAAGGGTATCGTTATTACCAAGTCTGACTTCTCGAGATGTCATCGTGGAGTTCAATTTGGTGAAGAAA